ATCACAATCTGTACCACAGGACGGCCCTATACACAGAAGAGTATGGCCCTCAGAAGGGCTTGACCCACAAAAGTGCTCTGTACCACAGAAAGGCCCTGTATTACAAAAAAACTTTATAGCCCACAGAAGGACTTGATCCACAGAAAATCCTGACCTACAGCAGGATCCTATAATACGAAAGAACTCAACCCACGGAAAGGCCCTTTACTATATAATAGAAGAATATGGATTACAGAAGAGCCCTATACCACAGAAAAAGTCCACGAAAGCGCCTTGTACCATCATACATTACAATCCCTCAAATCTCCGAAACTTCCTACCGTACCCAATTGATATAAAAATCTAAAGACTCGATACTGTCTCATTATTACACATACGAGGTCTGTCCCAAAAGTATCTGACCTGCATTTATATCTTCGCGCCAAAGTGTTCTGGTGACCTCTACCGGGCAGGCACGTCAACAGTAGGATCTTGCGAACTTATCGGTTGGTCGCCAGGACGTATAGTTCATACGCAGTGTGTATTTGTTTACAGTGTCTTTTTCACGTTCGTCGGATTTTTAAGTAGCTAAAAATGACCGAAAAAACAATGCTCCAGCGCATGCATCAAACTTTGTGCAGCAGTATTTATCAAAACACAGTGTTGTACAGCTTCGCCAGCCTCCGTACAGTCCCGACGTAGCTCCCTGCGACTTTTGGCTATTTCCTCGATTGAAAATGCCGCTTAAAGGACACCGATTCGACGACAAGAAGACTGTTGAAACCAATGCGACGAATGCACTAAAGGCGATTCCAATAACTGACTTTCAAGACTGCTTTGGGAAGTGGAAGCATCGATATGAGCGTGTTGTTCAATCAAACGGGGACTACTTCGAAGGATGCCACCAACCGGATGACGAATAATAAGCCAAGCGCCGAAAAATGGAGGTAGGTCGGATACTTTTGGGACAGACCTCGTACGCATGCACGCACACAAGATAAATAAAACCAGTCACGGAAGTGGGTTAGCCCACAGAAAGGTCCTGTTCCACAGAAGGATTTGACCCACGGAAGAGCCCTGTGCCACAGGAGTGCCTTATACCTCAGAAGGGCCTGGGTTACAGAAGAGCCTTGTACCACAGAAGGGCACAACAAACAGAAAGGCCTTGCTCTATAGAAGGACTTGACCTATAGAAGAGATCTATACTACAGAAAAGCCTGGTTCACAGAAGGACTTGGCTCATGAAAGGGCTTGACCTACAAAAGTGTCCTGTTTCACAGATGGGAACTGCATCGCAGAAGGGAAGAAAATATATATATATATATATATATATATATATATATATA